GAAAAAAATGAATATTAGCTAATGTGGAGTGGTTATATAAATTGATGGGGTGTCATTAATGATAATACTGTTTGTGCAAAATCCTCCTATCTTCATCCTTGAGACCACCAGTTGAGCTCACGGTGCATTTGTCTGGCGAAATGAATGCAACCTTAATTCACCCTGAATAAAATAAAACGAACTTATTGCAGTTAAATGGAACCTAGAGGCAATTAGCCCCTGATTCGTTTAGCAGCGGGTCATTGATTGCAGGAATAAGATTTTTAACATAGAGAATTGTTTCCAATGGTACGTAAAAAAATAAAAATAAAAAAAATGAAAAGACTCACGACGGAAAAACTGAGCTAGCTAGCTATATATAGCTAGAGGTCTAAGGCACTGTAATTTGGTCTTTCAATTCATATACGTTAAGTGAGAATAAAACATGGATATAAGTGGGTACAAAATGCCAAATTAAAACTGCAAACAACCACACTATGTGCAAATGAGGCCAGAAAAGGAACAACTACCCGTTGGTATAACAGCTTCAAAAGAAATGGAATCAGTAGTTGGACTTGCAATTATTGGCACTAACTACAAGGTTTTGTATAGCTACCCAACACTCAACTGTAAAATGTATACCAAATTATATCGAGTGTAAGGGAAAACCTTACCTCCACATCAAGAAACTAATAAGTAAGATGACCTAAAATCATGTAAGTAAGATTCAACATCAAATAGTTTGATAAAAATAATAATATGAGAGGAACTATTACTCGTGATAAGAATGTCATCAACATAAAATAAAATAAAGTTGAAAACCTTAGTAGTAAGCGGAATAAAGAGTGAAGTATCAATTTAGGACCTAACAAAACCAAGTTGTAAGAGAATTTGACTAAGCCAAGAGTACCAAATACATGATGCTTGTTTCAACCATATAGAGATTTGTGTAACTTATATATATGAGTGGAGCACATAGAATAGAAAAAAGCAAATTGGTTGCTCCATAAACACATTTTTAGTAAGGATATCATTTAGAAACAAGTTATAAATGTCAAGTTAACATAGTGGTCATTGCTTAGAAACGACAATGCTAAGAACAATGTGAATGATAGCATGATTAATAACAGGATCGAAAGTCTCAAAATAATCTACCCCTTTGTTATTGATGAAATTCCTTAGTCACAAGTTTGGCCTTATAAAGAGAACTATTAATCTTCTTTTTGACATAATAAACCCAAAGGACACCCAACAACATTCATATGAGAAAGCCAGGAAACAAAAGTTCATGTATGATTAGGATGTAAGGCATCTATTTTAACAAGTCTAGAATCATACCATTTACAATAAAGGTTAGCCTCTATGAAAGAGATTGGCTCACAATCTAAAAGAGTAAAGAGTCGAGAGTCAAAAGCACAAGAGTAAAAATAGTGCTTGAGATGAGATGTTGGTTTAGAATGGATAGAGGATGGAGAACCATGTTGTGTGTATGCTAAAAATAAGGAGTTGAATGTTGTGAGGACTACTAGAAAATGGTGCTACTAGGATGATGCTAGACAATGATAGTAAGAGAGGACAACTCGAAATGTCAAAAGGTCAATAATCAAGTTTAGGATAGGTGGCAAAGAGAGAAAGCCATATGTTGTTGGTTGCTCGAAAGACTTGGCAATAGAAAAAAGGCTAAGTAGCAACAAGCACGACCATAGTAGAAAGCTACTAGAGAAACTACTATACGAGTAGCAATGGCAATAAAACCAAAAGGTGGAAAAAAGCTAACACAAGTTGCAAAGAGTTGGAGATAAGAGGGGAAGATATGGTTCAGGACATATCAATAAGAACATAGAGCTTGGTTGATGGAAGGTTTGGTTTGAAAGTTGAAGATCCTTGTTCAACCTTGTAATAGAAAAGGCATTTTTGTGAAAACTTACATCTCATGCGAGTTTAAATTTTTTTGGTGGAAGTATCAACATAAACATACCTTAGATGATTAGAATCATAGCTAAGAAAAACAAATGGAGTAAAACAAAATTTTATTTTATGTTTGTTAAAAAGATGGAGAAACGAAAGTATAGACAACCAAATGCTCTAAGAAAATAATAATCAAGTTTAAGATGATAAAGACACTCAAGGGGAAATTTACTATTAAGAGTAGCAGTTGGCATATGATTGATCAAATCAACGATAGTAGTGAAAACAAAATTCAATATTTACGAGAAACGTTAGAATGACCAAGTAAAGTTAAACGTGTTTCAATAATGTGACGATGTTGATACTTGATAGAACCATTTTGTTCATGAGTGTGAGAATAGATGATGCAATAATGAATGCCAATATCAACAAAATTGATAAGTAATTTTTTATACTTACCATGCTAATTAGTTTGAATCATTTTAATTTTAGTTAAGAATTGGAGTTCGAGTAATTTTTTAAAATGAAAAAGATTTAAAAATATTTGATTTATTCAACAAGGAAAAAAAACAAATAAATTTAATGAACTTGTCAACAAAAATAACAAAATAGCAAAATTCATTGAATGAAATAACTAAAAATAGGTCCCATACATCATTGAAGACAAGATCTAATAGAAGTTAAACAAGGAATTTCTTTTCGAAAAAAGCTTAACTCAATATATGTGGAGTAGGATGCCAAAGTCGATGGTGTCATGGTTTCATGTTTCATCGAGAGCATGAGTTGTTAAAAGAGCTTAAGGAACAAAATAATTAAGCCTATTGGTAATTGGTCTTTCCTCAACTATATATGTTATTCATTTATTATTTATTTATTCGATATGGATTGGCTCTTTAACATTCCTCTTCACTCGTAGTCTATCATTTAGGGCTTATCAAGTTATTAGAACTCTAAAATCTTTATTGAATCATTGGACCTTCTTAAGACTCTAACACCATATCAAATAATCATCTTAACTTAAAATTTTAAACTAGATAAAACTCAATATATGATTTATATTATTCTTTAACATTTAATTAATTACTATAAACAAAATTTCCTCCTCATATTTTTTTATTATTTGATTACGAGTTCGCAATTTCTACTTTTCCATATTTTCTTCTCTATTTTGGATAGAAATATAGAAATTCAATAATAAAGATATAAATAAATCATTCATCTTGTACGAAGTTCTCCCTAAAGGAATAATCCAATAATCAATATTTGATTTTTTTTTTTTTTTTAGAAAAATCTTATAAAATCTAACAAAGGCAAAGAGGTCGGGTGATAGAAGGTTTGTTTGGAAGGTAAAGATCCTTGTTCAACCTTTGCAAAAAAAAAAAAAAGGCATTTTTGTGAACACTTACATCTTGTGCAATGTAAATCAGGTTAGTAGAAGTATCAAAATAAACATATATACCTTAGATGATTAGAATCATGGCAAAGAAAAACACATGGAGTAGAATGAAAATCCATTTTGTGTTTACTAAAAGAACGAAGAAACGAAAAAACATAAACATATAAATTTTTTGAGAAAATGATAATTAGGTTTGTGAGAAACATTAAAATGACCAAATAAAGTTAAACATGTTTCAACAATGTGATGATGTCGATGCTTGATAGACCCATTTTGTTCATGAGTATGAAAACAGATTATACGATGATGAATGCTAATATTAGTGAAATTAGTATGTAATTTTCGATACTCACCATCCTAATCAGTTTGAATTATTTTAATTTTAGTTGAGAATTGACATTCGACTAATTTTTGAAACTAAAGAAAGGTCTTAAAAATATTTGATTTATTCAAAATGGAATAAAATCAAATAAGTTTACTAAAGTCATTGATAAATTAAAATTATAAAATAGCAAAATTTATTGTACGAAATCATTAAAGACGGACCCCATACATCACTAAAGATGAGCTCTAATAAAAATTGAACATGAAATTATTTTTAAAGAACAAGTTGACTAAAAATGAGTGTAGTAGCATGTCCAAGCCAACGATGCCATGTTTCAACAGGGCACACAATTTGTTAAAAGATTTGATGAACAAAATAATTAAATCCTATGGTGGTTGATCTTTTTTCAAGTATATAAATTATTCATCTATTATTTACTTATTTGATATGATATAGATTTTTTAACATTCACATTCACTTACGAGTCCATCAATTGAGATCTATCAAGTTATTAGGGCTCTAGGATTTTTATTGAGTCATTAGACCTTTTTAAGATTCTAATATTATGTTAAAGAACTATTTTAACTCAAAAAAATTAAATTATTAAATAAGACTTTAAAATATAATTTATATTATTTTTTAATATTTAATTAGTCACTCCAAACAAAATGTCCTATTCACTTTTCTTTTCTTTTCTTTTCTTTTCTTTTCATTATTTATTACGAGTTAGCAACTTCTACTTTTCCATCTTGTCTTCTTTATTTTGGGTAGAATTATAAAAGGCCAATAATAAAGATCCCGAAACATCATTCATCTTGTAAGAAGTTCTCCTAAAAGAATAATCCAACAATCAACATTTGAAATTTTCTTTAGAAAATCTTATAAAATCCAAACCTTGAAAAATGTGAATTAAGGAGATCTAAGTATAGAAGAGACCTATTCTCATTATGATGAAACTAATTTAGTTCGAAACTGGTTGAACCTGTTGATAAAACAAGAAAAGATTTAAATTAAAAAAGAGATTAATATGCCAAATTTTGTGCCATTTCAATTGTGAAGATTTCAAGATATGTGGAAGAAGCTGTCACTTGAGCTTGGACATATATATAGCATCTTCTTATTTTCTTAATATGGAGAGACTCACACCAGATGAATCGACTCACACTAGATGAATTTCTTTTGATTAAAAAAGTACAAATAACGTAAGCAATGTCCTCTAGTGAGAAGGAATTCCACCAATTAAGATTCCAATATGAATCCCGGCCTACGTTTCCAACTTCAAATGTCTCCCAAGGTTTTACTATAAATACGTCTTTCTACAACCCTAGTTCTCTCAAAAATCATCTAAACACATAAATTCATTCACTCTCTTAATATTACTTAATTAATTCCATGGCTTCCTTCGCATTTTCCGCTGGTGTTGGTCGCTACATTTCACCATCAAATGCAATGGTTTCTGTTAACTGTGAGAACAGAAGTGAAGGGTTTTCATTAGGCGAGGGTATTTTTGCAAGAAAACGTGACCCTCGATACTCGGTGATCACGAAAGTTGCAACCCAAGCACCAACTATGGTTCCATCACTGGAGAAGGAACTTGCTATTGACCGGAATCATGTTGCATGGACAAGTGTCCGGCAAGAGAGGTGGGAAGGAGAGCTTGCTGTTCAAGGAGAAATTCCATTGTGGTTGGTATGTAAAATATTGCAAATGATATATCTATACTTAATTTTCCATGCTAGTAGAGATGAACTAATTTATACACCACCTTATATGAAGGTTTATATGATATCCATGTGGTTAAAAGTTCATCCATTTTTTCCCTAAACGATAGTTATTCTTATAGCTAGATTTTTTTAATTTTTTTTTTTATGACAATTAGCTAGGTTTTTTATTTTCTCATGAACACATATCCGTACATAGAGTTTACACCTTTTTTTTTCCTTCCTAATTTGTTTCTGTAACTTTTGCTTGGTTCTGATGCGGATCAATTAGTTTAACTTTTTGAAGTTGCAGCAAGCTTGAAACAGATGAAAGCGAACATAGACAGATGTTAGCTGCTTACCCTTTTCATTTTTTTTAATCCTCTCTTATTATGTTTTTCATGTTTGTACTTTAGACTACATGACATGAAAACATCGAATGCTTTTGTTAGGTTGCAATTGGTTCATTTTCTGCATAGTATAATGACCTGCATGTAGCTTTATCCTGTAATGGGTCCAAAATATGGGAGGAAAGAACAAAGCATATTCCTTGTTTTATTAACTTCATAAAAATTGTTGTACTCATATCATATGACTCATCATGGACCTGCAATATTCCATGTTCTACATTCAGATGCAAGATCTGGCTATTACGCACCCATATAAGATTTTTCAAATATTATAAATTAGGGAAATAAAAGACCATGCATGTTCTACTACATACAATACTACACTTATAGACAAAAAAAAAATGAATTTTTTGTTTTGATTAGTGTTGTTCAATCACCTGAGTTTGATTTCATGCAGAGTGGAACGTATCTTAGAAATGGTCCAGGCCTGTGGCACATAGAGAACTACAACTTCCGACACCTTTTCGATGGCTATGCCATGTTAGTCGGACTCCACTTTGAAAATGGTCGATTGATCGCTGGCCACCGCCAAATCCAATCAGAGGCTTATAAGGCTGCAAAGAAGAACAATAAATTATGTTACCGTGAATTTTCTGAGGTTCCAAAGCCTGACAATTTCCTAGCCTACGTAGGGGAACTAGCTAACCTCTTCTCCGGGGTATCACTGACCGATAACGCCAACACTGGCGTGGTCCGGCTTGGCGATGGCCGTGTTGTTTGCTTAACAGAAACACAAAAAGGGTCAATAGTTGTTGATCCAGACACACTGGAGACATTAGGAAAATTCCAATATAGTGATTCACTGGGAGGTCTAATACATTCGGCACATCCAATAGTGACAGACACTGAGTTCTTAACTTTGTTGCCTGATTTGTTGAAGCCTGGATACTTGGTGGTGAGGATGGAGCCTGGAAGCAACGAAAGGAAAGTGATCGGACGGGTGGATTGTCGTGGAGGACCTGCTCCAGGGTGGGTCCACTCGTTTCCGGTTACTGAACATTATGTGGTAGTGCCAGAAATGCCTTTGAGATACTGTGCACAAAATTTGCTCAGAGCTGAGCCCACACCATTGTACAAGTTTGAGTGGCACCCCGATTCCAAAGGGTTCATGCATGTTATGTGTAAAGCTAGTGGCAAGATTGTAAGTCCACTTCATCTCTCATCACCATCATCATCATCGCTATCGTTGATTATTAAGACCACTAATTAATTATCATATGACTAATTACACGTAATAACATTTATGAGTGCTGGATTTGGTTTTATATGGTTTCATTTCTCGGAATTTTTGAAGGTGGCAAGCGTGGAAGTGCCTCTATATGTAACCTTCCATTTCATCAATGCTTATGAAGAGAAAGACGAAGATGGGAGGGTGACTGCCGTCATAGCCGATTGTTGTGAGCATAATGCGGACACAAGTATTTTAGAGAAGCTTAAACTGCAAAATCTTCGGTCTTCCATGGGTGAAGATGTCCTACCAGATGCTAGGTAAGTAATTAATTAATTTCCCTTTGTTATCACTAATTTCTTCATGGACAATGATGTTATGGTTATAGTACATATATGCACAAGATATGCTTGTCAAAAATTATATTATCTTCGTTTACTTTGTCCTCTTTTGGATCATCCACTTGTGATAGCTAATTAAGCTTGTGTAGTTGCTCCACAGTTAATTAGTCTTTTTTCAAATGCCTTCACTTTGGAAGATCAGCTCATGCATGACGTTAAGCAAGAGTGTGTGTGTGTATATATATATATATATATGTATAGTACTAGCTGATAGATGATGCATGGGAGTGACTAATAATTTAGTGGTGCATGTATACGTATATATACGTAGGGTCGGGAGGTTCGTAATTCCTTTAGATGGGAGTCCGTATGGGAAGTTGGAGGCAGCATTGGACCCAGAAGAGCATGGGAAAGGAATGGACATGTGCAGCATTAACCCTGCATATTTGGGCAAAAAATACAGATATGCTTATGCTTGTGGAGCAGAACGTCCTTGTAACTTCCCCAACACCCTCACTAAGGTAAAATTACTCATGAGCACCAATACTAGTCTAGCTTGCAATTGGGTTTTTTTTATTTTAAAAAAATGGTTTTTAATTTCTTGCATGTATATATATGTTTATATTGCTCAATTTCTTCGAATGTTTTAACTTAATCTTGATCGTATTGTAGATTGACTTGTTCGATAAGAAGGCAAAGAATTGGTATGAAGAGGGTGCTGTACCCTCGGAACCATTTTTTGTAGCTCGCCCAGGTGCTACAGAAGAGGATGATGGTGAGTAAATATTGTTATTCCTTCACTTCCAAATAATTTTTTTTCTATTTATATTTATTTTAAAATATTATTCTAATAAAAAATTTAAGTGATGTATTTTTAATCAAAGCCTAATTTGTAAAATATTGTTCAAATATAATTCTCAAAAAATAGATAGTATTTTAATAAAGCATGAACAAAATATATTAATATAGCATTTTTAAGGTATATGAAAGTCAAAGAGGATAAATTTTTTGAAACGAAAAAATTTATTTAACTTTGTGCTTTTACCGATCATTTAATTAACTAATATGGGCAAGTCCTCATTCTCAAAATAAATAAATTCAAAAATATGAGTTCCATTGGCCCAATAAGCAGCTATATGTATCTCAAAACCCTAAAACTTGTCTTCTTGTCATATTAGAAATGTATAGATTGTACAAGGAGTTTGACTCATCAAAAGACTACCTCTTCAGTCAAGCTACATGCAATTCTTCTTCTTCTTCTTCTTCTTCTTCTTCTTCTTCTTTTGCCCTATAACCCTAATCATACTTTTTGGCACCAAAGAACAAAAAAAAATCTAGTTACCGAATTCAATAGAGTATCACTTCTGAATTAACTTGAATTTTGTCAACATAACAATCATCTATAAAAAAGATTGATTAATCAATTTTAGCCAATGACTACGTCTGTTTTCCTTAATTAGTAATTACTAATCATATGGAAATGGATCGCCCGCAGGTGTGGTGATCTCCATGGTTAGTGAGAAAAATGGAGATGGGTATGCACTGTTATTAGACGGATCCACATTTGAAGAGATTGCAAGAGCAAAGTTTCCTTACGGTCTACCGTATGGATTACATGGATGCTGGGTGCCAAAGAAGTAAAATCATTAACCAATTGGGGTTGTGTGGTTTAGCTATCATGCCTCATGATTGATCACCAGTTCAACTCTAGCTGCTTATAGGATTTGCACCACCCGAATGTTATTATATATCCAAGGATTAATGGATAACTAACTCGTGATCCAATATACCTAGATGGTGTATGTTTTGCAGATGATAGGAAGATCAATATAGGTGGTGTGTATCGCAGATGGTAGGTGGTGTATGTTGCATATGATAGGACGATCAATATAGGTCCATGTTTTATAAATCATATGTATCTTGGCTTGTATATATGTATCTTGATTAGTCTGTAAAATTATTATTACAGCCCATGTTGAAGTGCTACCTTAGTATAGCCAGCAGTTGTTTTCTACAGTCAGATGTATGTAATAGATAGTGTTTTCTTCATATTGAACGTCCAAGGAAATGTAGGGATGAAAACAGTTCCTTTAAACTGAACATGAAATAGGAAGTTAAAGAGCATAAAATCACAATTAAATAGAAGAGAATTGAACAATTAGGCGGAAAAAGCTGAGAAGGAAATGGGGTTTTGCTTGAGGTGATCAAGGTAAGTTTCGTTCCAATGACAGGAATATACTGAGCTCCAGGGATTCAGCAATAACAAAATTATGATCTTATTTCACCACATAATTAAGAAGTCCTTCATCAACCTCCAAGAAAACAACTATTGCTGGATGTCTTGGTATGTCAGATAGGTGATTAAATCATGGAACTAGCAAATCATCGCCTGCGAAACTAAGACATGACCAAGTTTGTCTTACTTGGCACAAGTTGCTCATTACAAAAAGCTGATAGAAGGAACAGAAGACCATCGAGGAGTTGACGAAATAGCTACTATTGCTGGATACCCAAAACTAGGTTTAACCAGTCAGCATCACAGATAATGCTTTACAATGTTATTGCAGATAGATTGAGTGTGTGGGTACACAAATGTGAGGCTACTGTTCTAATAAATTTGGTTATTAATCTATATGATGGAAAAATTCCATTCCCATGGAAATCAATGCATAAAACCCGCCACTCTCCCCCAACAGCTACAATCTTTCAAGGAATTTGATGGTCAAAATAAGACTTGTGTCATGTGAATGAACCAGATCCATAAAGGTTGTCCTGCACCATTAGGACTTCAACTTGATAGCTGAGAAAGCAACCCAGTCAGGATTCCATTACTTCTGGTCTGTGTAAACAGCATCAACATCATCAAGTTCAAGTAATTGAGACGTGAGTTCTTTGTTCAGCTCTACTGCCTCGTCATCTACCTGAAACCCATTCAGACGCTAACATCACTTATTTAATTAAAAAATGCGACCTAAAATTTAGGTTTTTTGCATTCAACAGAGACATGAAAACAGTTTAAAAGAGAAATAAAGATAAGAAGTTCATTTCTATGCGTGTTAATAGTAAAGCACATTTCACAATCATGGCAGTTTGTGTAGGAAAAGCATGATAAAAATAATCAAATGCTCATTAGGCAATTCAATAAGTCACAGAGTTGATGAAATGACACCAAAATGAGAAAATCAGAAAGGCGAAGAGATAAAAATCATTTCAGCACTATGGGTATACCTCAATAGTTGTTATAGGAAGTAGCTCAGAGCCGTTATCAGTCTCAAAGCTTATTCCTTCCTCACCCAGTTTTGACAATATTGCTGCATAGTTCTCTGCTGGACTTACAACTTTATAGTAGCTATCAAAATGCAAAAAAGGAAAAATGGAACATGATTAAAGCTCTGCATATCTTGAGGAACCTAGTTTACTGAAAGAACTCATTAACTCAGTGGACACCATCAGAATCAGATTGCATCAGATAGGTATGTATGAGATCAAATGGCTGAACTTATTGGGGCTTTTTGCATTGCATCTTATATCTATTACGAAGAAATAAGTGAGGAGAATTTCTATAACAAAGTTTCATACTTCTAAATTATTGGGTTCTTGTCACATAATCTTTAATTTTGAACACGCATCAAGCAATGCATTTTTTTCTTTTTTTGTTCATCGACTTTCCAAACTGAACATTGGAGGTTCATTTCAATAAATATATATTCGAAGATAACTGGTAACTTAAGTTGTACACAATATTAGTTTTGTTTTTTGGTAGAGCTAGGAATCTACAAGAAATGTCCCCTTACAAAACTTCGGATAAGGAGGGCCTTAATTGATTAATTGGTGCAAGTTAAGCTTACAAAAATTGTGCCAAACTTTTCATAAAGCTTCAACATGATGTCTTGACGGTGCCTTTCATTGCTAGCCACAACTTATTTTCACCCAACCGCTCACAAAGTGCAAAAGACAACTCATCATAGTCTCAAAGAGCCATTCCTGTGCAAATACTTATTTGCAACTTGACTTAAATTGTCTAATTTCATAGGTAGAGCTAGGAATCAAGAGAAAGCAAATGTTTCCCTTGAGAGCGTGACAGAGGAGGGCCTTGATTGTGCTAGCTTAATTTGCATACGAGTTTATGCCAAAGATTTTAAGCTTCCAACTTGATATTGCCCAACTAGACATCACCATGAGTGCAAAAGATTATTTCTCCATATCAGAAGCTCAAACATCCATTTTTATTTATGCAAGGACTTCTCACAACTTGTCTACAATGCACTAAGTAATCATATACAGAATTAATAACTTGTTTCTTCCTTCGTCAAAGGCTTTTAAATTAACACATCATAGAATATTTCGACATTTGTACCAATTAATAACTTGTTTCTTCTTTCGTTAAAGGCTTTGAAATTAACACGTCATAGAACATTTCTACATTTGTACCAATAATTAAGTAGAAATTGTAAGATTTGTGAAACTCATGATTTTTTGGCATCTAATGTAACTCTTGAAGTAATCATCTTAAAGCTCAGTATCAGAAATGGGTCACCTGAGCACCACTACTGGAACAGGTAACATCAAACATCATTCATGTAGGCAATATTTGCTATCATCTGGGACAAGAAATTACGAAACTAGAATTGAAGCATGACTTTACAGATTCAAAAGCATCTTTGCATGAAATAGGAGGGTGGGAGCATTACCTTTCTGACCTATCCTCATCTGTATCATCTTCATCTATTGAAGGTTCAATAACATCCTCAGCACCAGCATCTAATGCAATGCCAAGGAGCTGATCTCTGTCAGCATGTGTAACTTTAACATTCACAACCCTGGCACGTCTAAACTTGAACAATACAGATCCTGAATCCGCCATCTTTCCTCCATAATCCTTCAGTACCTCTCTGATAGCTGCCACAGATCTCTTTATTTTATCTGTTGAGACCTCCACTACAATACTAACTCCACCAAAGCCATATACCTAACGTGGAAGAAGCAGTTTATTTGAAGAAACCAGATTGAAAAAAAAATACTAAAAGGACCAATTCAAAAAGAATCCTTCTACTTGTTTTGAATCTTAGCAACCTCTGATAAAAAGGTTTAATGATAATTATACCAACCTCATAAATTTTCTCAATGAAAGCCTCTTGTCCCTTCTCAGAAGCCCTCTTAATATTACGCTCCAAAATTTCCTTGGGTACATCAAGTTCCTTGGCTTTATCAATTAAAGCAGCCAGAGCTGTATTTGATTCTGGATTTGGACCACCTTTCTTTACACTGCATCAGGAACCAATCCCAATGATCACAATGCATGATCAACGTTCTGAAGTATAGTTTTATTCGCAGCCTATTTAGAATCAACTAACTTACGCAGACACAACTTCCTTCCCGATCCTGCAATACAATTTTGACTTCTTTGCATCTTGAGCTCCCTACATTTAAGCCGTATCCAAAAAGTTAAAAAGGTAGAACACAAACAAAAATCCCTTTGTAACTTTATATTTTCACTGGTTAATGATCGTCCCTAATTGATATTGTCACATCGAAAGACGGAAGAACAAAAACTTTACTAACATATATCATCCATAGTCATATAATGAAATTTTCCTTTAAAAAACGAAAGACTCAGAATTTTCAGCTCAAACTATCATTAGAATTTGCCTCAGCTTTTCATCAAACATGTGATATTCGAACCAATTTAGTCAGGCACTTGCTACTGTAATTCTAAAAAACCCAACACAGAAAGAGAGAAAAGGAGGGACCTTTCTGCCAGCAATTTTGCAAGAACGTCTGCCCATACAAACAGGAGGGAAAGTCCATATCTTTCTAACATTATTGACTGGATAGCCACTACTACCCCTAAGTTTCTCTTCATGTAACAATAACAAACTAGAGCAATTGCCACTATACGATGAAGATAATGATGATATTGCATTCTTGCTGCCAAGTAAACCACTCCCTAAATCACAAAAATAACAGCAACCCTTTATTTAGAATCACTTCAAACATGAAACGTAATTGAAATAAATGAGAAATGTAAATTTATTTGTTTAAACGGACTTACTTTGAACTGAAAGTGAGTTTGTTGGGCATTTTAAAGAGAACCCAATTGAGAATTTGTGGAGAATTGCACCTATCCCTCTCATTTTATTTTGGTTTTGTTAATATTACTACTTCGCAATTGCAGCTTCAAAATCTAGTCTTCGCAAAATATGCAATGGCGCTGTGTCTGTATAGTCGCCTGAAAATCCCAGATTTGTTTTGGCTGTGTCTCCTGGACCAAGTTACTGGTCATGGTTAGGCCCAAACTCTTTTGGGTTTAAAATACCCACATTTTCTTGTTAAAATACGAGGTCCACCCAAACCTAGGACTTTGTCTGAGTCGCCATGCAAACATCTCATATATATATATATATATATATATATATATATGTATATATATATATAAAGCTACACCCACCAATTTGTTCTTTTTGAATTTTGATGGTGGGAGATCATTACAATTTCGAAAGCTCCAAATTTTAGTACTTGATAATCATTAAAAAGGTCTGATTGATTTTGCTAATATTTTTAAGTAAAATTATTTGTTGTTGAATGCAACGTAATGCGCTGGATCTATGGTAGAGGAACTTGCTACTTTTAAGTCTTTTAAAGAGACAATGATCTGATTCTTTGTATTACGAATGCATGATTAATATCGTTGGAGTCGAGGGGTGGTAATTATCTTTCCAGCAGCAGCTTAAAAACATCTGCTAATGTATAGTAAAGCTGGACAAAGTATTGTTGGTGCACTTCACAGTGCCAACACATCATTTGAAATGAACTTCAATTGATGCATGTATAGCTCTCTGGATCCATCCCATGGCTAATTTTGCGACCGAATTTAGTGTGTGTGTGTGTGTCCCAAGCTCAGGCAGAAAGATATACCAAATGCTACAGCATGTGTGAGAGAATTATGCTTCTGTGGTCCTTACAATGGAAGAGTAAGAAAACCAACAATATATGCAGACAAATGAAGTGAAAGGAAGACAACAACAAACACTGATAATCACTGACCCTTCCTTTGTGCTTTCAAAGGAACGGTGCTAGGATTCGTTCATCTGTAGCTTAAGGACCAAAAAGCATTGATCTTTTTTCACATCCAAGGGGATTATCCTGTTTGGATGGGTTTTACATTGCCAAAAGAGAAACAAAAAACAAAACTTCCAGGTTGAATAAGACCTTTCAAATGCTACTATCCATTGCAGGATTTGTTGCTGAACTTGCATCATAGACCAAAACAAATAGTTTTCAGAATCATTGGTTCAATTTGAGACACTTGACTGTAAAGTTCTCCTCAGATCCTAATGTCTCAACATAAAAGCAGACATCAAATCAATGAAAAAGAGTGATCAGAAAAAATAGATATATGTTGACCATATTTACTCCCTGAAATTACCTACGAAACAAGTTTATAAACTCAGTGCAGAAACTACATATTCATTGCCAAGAGCTTCAGTTCTACTCTTCTAGTCTTCTTAGCTTCTCCTTTAAATATAGCTTTTCACAACCTGCTGATGAAAGAAGTGGATGTGGTATACAAGAAAAACCGCTATGGATTACTTAAAAAGAAAGGGGAAAAAAGAAAAACTCACAGTGATCCGACTGTAAAATTGAGAACCAAAAAGCCTATGATATACATTATCCCATTATCTAGATAAATTAATAAGTTCACAACCCTTCTATCAACAATTTCGACAATCCTCCAATTATTCAACAAACAAACTTCACAATGCATGTGTATGAAGCTATATTGTACTCAGTTGATGTTAGCACATAAACCTCAGAATAAATAGCGATCAGCTAATTCTTATTGTCTTTTGTAAAAGAATCACTTTGCAGATATGCCCATAAGTCACACAGCAAATAAGCAGCAGAAACTAAGTTGAGATTTTTTTTCCATCCCATCCATAACTCTAATTTCTTAGAAAATGACCTCATAGAGGTCTGATGCATTGTCTGCCTTAAGCTGCTTGATCAGCAAAATTCATCTCAATGCACCTCCAAAATTTGGTAGTTTGAAAAGCATGTAAGCAGCCATTAGTTCAGTCAAGGATAGGCAGCATTGGGAAGGACACCAGTTTTTACGCAGAGGGTAAATACAGATCTGCTGCCTTGAAGGATAAAGGATAAAGAGGTCTCCTAAACTTATGGGGTAGAAACTTGACACACCGACAGTAATTCTTATCTTCCCAGATGGAGTTATGACAATCATGAACCTCTTAAGTGCTACTATTTGTTTGGTCTGAACAACTTTCTAGCTCAACCTTGGTTTCACCATCAAAATTGACTTCACAAATTTACAAGGAACCAATTATTGATAACCAATGGAGTGAGAGATAAATTTCATCAACGTAAACATGTTACTATAAAACACCACATAAACACACTATAGCAGCTTAAAGAATCTCTCTGCCTATGGAAATACAAAACCCTCTTTTTTTCCTTATATACAGAAACTAACAAGCAAAGAAATTTTGTTTCTTTCAAAAAAAAAAAACAATACCATTCAAACAGAAATGACAAACAGAAACGAGAATCCTTCAGCAATCAAAAGAGGCATGAAATTTACTATTTCACTAACCTGTTTAATCCCAGCTAACCAGCATAAAAAATTTTTGCCCTCTTTTTATCCATCATTATTATCTCCAATGCAACTGACAAAACCTGCTAATGTTTTCTTGCATTCTCATTGGTATCCACATCCTCAATCCTCTATCAAGCACAATAGACCTCAATGATCTGCACTTCAACACCATATCCACGTCATCCCCGCAAATGTTATAACAGGAAGCCATCACTAATGAGTCCAAACACTGATGATAACCAAAGGCACGAATGCCAGCTCCTGTAATCATCTCACACCCAGTTAAATCAAGAGCTACCAAATTCCTACATTTCTCAGCTATTGCAACAAGTGTAATATCCGATACATTGATCAACCATGAAAGATTCAATCTTTTAAGACTAGCAATCGAGGCAACTGCAATAACTCCGTCGTCTGTCACTTTAGGCCCACATTCAGCCAAATTCAACTCCTCCAAAGAACACATTCCCTGCAATAACGACACCCCGAAATCAGTAACTCTATCACACTCTGCAAGAACCAACCTCTTTAATGTCCTTGAAGAAGACCCAGTTGCCAAAAAGGCCAAACCTTTATCAGTAATCAAAGAACAACCTTCTAAATTCAGAACCCGAATCAAAATCATACACCCAATTGCTTCAAGCGATGAATCATTAATCAAATTACACCTCCCCAAATCCAAAACACTCAAACTTTGTGCACACTTGACTAAACTAATAATCCCAACATTCCCAACCCTCTTTCTCCTTCTAAACAACACTTCACACAATTTGCAACAGCCATTTGCAATAGCTAAAACACCAACATCGTCAAAATCTAATACCTCATCAAACCCATCACTATTTTGGCTTTCAACTGATAGTTGCTTGAGATTGAGATTGAGAAATTCAAGTTTAGGACATGTTTTGGCTATGAATTCGAGGTGGGTATTCGTGATTCGTTTTGGAGACATGAAAATTTAACAAATTTGGGAATCTGGGCAAGAATTTACGGAGTAGTTCGGTTTCAAAAACCCGAATTATTAAACGGGTTTGGCCTTCTACTCTAAGCCATTGCTTGCATACTTGAGAGAATGATTTCCTGTCATTTTGATCAATGACACAGTTGAGAATTAGGGCTAAATCATCATCACCTAGTTCTGACATGAAAACTATTTGGAAGACACAGAGAGAGTCTGGACCATAGTTGTCAATTCCGTTTGGTATACACTTATTTTTGTTCTATTGCCCTGTTTCTGAACTATCACAATTCTAAATCTTCTCTCCTCAAAAAGTTCTAAACTTATTTATAAAAAGGTTCTTTTTCCATTTAAGCTGTTTAATATTTTGACATGGAATTTAATATTGTTAAAAAATAGTAATAATAGAAAATAATTTGAAAATTAGTTTCTCTGGTTCCTTTTTTCAAAATTAAATCTGACTTGAGTTTTTCAATCCTAAACCTTACAAGTCTCTTTGTTTTTCTTCACCTTTTATCATTAGCTTGAAACACTAATTCTCTGTAACAATTTTTTTTCCTTAACATTTTTTATTCACAATAATCATATCTATGATTGTAGCAAAAATCCAAGTAAGTTTTGTTCCTTTTTAATTAAAAGGAATAATCTTTGCACGCTTGATTTTTTAAATTCAATAAGGTTTTTTTTTTCAAACTTATAATTACTTCTTAGCTTATGTGGAAACATTTTTATACAGACAACAAACAAATAAAGATATAAGAGTATCTTCAATGCTCTCTTTATATTAAGATTTTTCTTTATAATAAAGAGGTTTGATCCAAATTTCATCTCCAATGCTCTCTTTATCACAATCTTTAAAAGTGAGATACGAGTGTTTTTGGCTCTCCAATACTGTAGAGTCCAAATGACTCTTTATCTTATATTTCATTAATGAAAATTATTATTTCCTACGCCACTTAGCCTCTTCACCAATCGGATGGAGAGAGATTAACAAAAAAAAATTTCAAAATTAAATGTTTTATGGATTTTGTCAAAGTAAAGAGTTAAAGTAGAGAGTAGCATTAGATTGGAGAGGACATTAATCTTCAATCTATATAATTAATGGTGCTCTCTATTTATATTAAAAATGCTAGTTAAAAGTAAAGAGTATCATTAGAAATGTTCTAAACAAGCATTTAACACCATGAAATCCAAAACTTGCAAATATATAAATTTATACTCCCTTAGAAATGATGCTTACCTAGGACAACTAAAAATAAATTATCTTATTTCTTATTTTTAAATTGTAGGTAGGATGAGTAATAGTCGAACGTACAGAGACTAATTAATCAAAACACAAAAAGAAAAAAAAAAGGGGTTTCACTAAGTACTTAACACAAGAATAATTTCTTTTATATTAAACACGTTATTCTCCATACACATTTAACCAAAGATTATCAAAGAGTCATAAAATCTTTACCGATTGATCATAACCTTATATACACATATATATATATATATATATATATATATATATATATATATATATATATATAAACACATTATTCTCCATACACATTTAACCAAAGATTGTCATAAAATCTTTACCTTTCCAAATTTTATAAATCTAAGCTTAACATGTAAATTAATTCTTATCAATAAATCAATTAATATTAAGCAATCTTCGCGAATATATTGATAGCATGATGCGAATTAGGAAAGAGTTAAAAATGAATAATAATTCAACAAGCGTCGGATTATTTAATTCAATATATTTATATTTTAAGCAAATAACAAAAACTTAGATCATAATCATTTTGCTTAATTGTTATTCTAATTAAACATCATAATAATTACAGATTGTGAATTCAATCTAGCTATGAACCATGCAATTCATTCAATTAATATGCATCTCAATCAATTGAATCATATAGTTATTAACAAGTAAAACCAACAAACATTTATACTTGAATAAAAAATTGATTAATATTAAGAACAAAGTCTCACAATTTGTTAATTGGATTGAAACTAGTTGAATTGACTAAAGAACTTTGTTTAACATGATTGTAAAAAGATTATAGAATAATGTTCAAAGAAAAGCCGAGTGGAAGAAAAAGAAGAAGCATTTCTATCTTTCCAAGTCTTATTTATATCCTAAAAGAAATAAGAAATTAAAATAATAATCATAACCATTCCTAGAAATGAATTTTGCTTATTTTTTATTCTATCTTTCCCGCCAAATACGGACTGGATACTTTCCGAATGAGAGTTTTTCTCTTCATGAAAGTTGTAGCCCTATTCATCGGTTTTCTAACACACCAAGCTTTGCATCAAACAAAAGTCCAAAACTCGAGTAATGGGCTAAATAGATTTTGAGATGCTTTCAAGAACAAGATCAAAAGCCTCTAGCCATATCAAGGTGGTGGGAAATAATTTTGCCATCATCATAAGAGTCTCTTAAAGACTTCTTCTTTGATCTCGTAAATAAATTTGATTAGATGGAACTCTCTGCAAGAAATTTTTTGATCCTTTTATAAGTAGAATTTCATAGAAATTTTATGTCTTTCTAGCTTTGAAAGACTATTGATTATGGCTCGGAAGACACACTAGCTTTTAGTTGAACAAGCGGGATTCAAGTCTTTTATTTAAGATGAAAAGGATAATATGGTAATATAATAATAAAAAAGGTAATATCTATTGCTAATTTAAAATGCCATAATTTAATAGTGGGTCATCGGTGACTTCATCCACACAAGTGAAAAGCCACCGATAAAAAAAATCATTCAAATAAAATAAAAAATGATGAGTCCCTCACAACTACAACCCATACGAGAAATCATTCAAATAAAATAAAATAAAAATAGCAAGTCCTTTACGTCTCCAACCCATAACGAAATCATTCAAATAGAATAAAAATGGCAAGTCCCATACAATCGTAGTACATAACGTAAATCATTCAAATAGAATAAAAATAGCGAGTCTCTTGTTACTCTAGTCGATAAAAAAAAAACATTCAAATAGAATACAAATAGCAAGTCTCTTGTCTCTAGCCCATAATAGAAATTATTCAAATATAATAAAAACGGTGAGTCTCTTGTAGCTCTAGCTCATAACGGAATGATTAAAACGGAATAAAAATAACGAGCCTCTTTTAACTCCAACCCATAAGAGAAATCATTGCAATAGAATAAAAATGATAAGTTTCATACGACTTTAGCCCATAACAGAAAGCATTCAAACATAATGTAAATGATGAGTCTCATATGACTCCGACCTATAATAGAAAGTATTCAAATAGAACAAAAGTAATTTACAATTTTGTTTCAATCAAGTAGTAATGAGTAATTTGATTTAGAAGCCACTAGCGGCTTCGACCACATAGGTGGAAAGCCACCATCGAGTTTCATTTCAATCAAATAAAAAATCAAGTAATCATGAATTAGACATGAATATTATGCATTCAACATATCACATTTAAAATTTTAGATCAATCACATCATTCAACACAAATACACATATCATATTCGAATGTGAACACCTGGACCAAAATTTATCTCGAATACACTATTGAAATTAAAACCCAAGCCAAGTCCTCTCGACTTCATCACAGAGCATTGATCACCAATCTTATTTCACCTCAAGATAATCGTGGTCTCTAACCTTTTCGGGTTCAATACACAATGATGTATCTAATCACACTTCAAATTTCTCAACAATCATAACCAAGGTAATTTCATATTTTATTTATTAAAACATGTCATTCATGTTATTTTAATACAAATACTTTCAAAAGTTATCCCAAATAATTGTTGAAAAGTGCAAAATTTGTCCAAATTCCTTTTCGAGTCAATTTCACTTTCTTTACCTTCAATGAAAACCGATTATTTAATTAGTTGGGGAGGAAAGTATTCGTACTTCAAAGCATCGAAGAGGCTATTGTGAAATGATTGAAAAGCTAAAATAACTAAAATAACCCTAAAATCAAATCTAGAAGGTCAATAATATTGGCGTATATGGCACATGTGTATGGCAAAATTACTAAAATACCTTTAAAACACTCAACCATTTTTGTCAACACTTTCGATCATCGTCCGACCTCCTTTAGGCATGTCGTTGGTCAAGGAAGGATCGTCCGGGCCTTTTCTCTCATTCGGTGTTAGCAGTATCATTTATGGTGGTTGAAGGAGAGAGATTGGCGGTCGGACGATGATTGCTTTCTTCTTCTTCTTCTTCTTCTTCAATCACGATTCTAACCACGACCATCGATGTCAACTCAAGAAACTATAAGGAGTGTTTCTCTAGTGGTTTAGAGATCTAATTTGGTATAGATTGATCGATTGGAACGAATCGTGTCAAACAAGTCAAAATCGATCTCCTCTTAGATTCGACCAATTTTCGATGGGATTTTTCCTAGATTCTTTGGAGGGGAACTTTTAGGAGAGTGAGGAACATTTTTGTGGGGTTTGAAAAATCTCAATTTGATCAAAAAATGACCAAATTTGGGAGAGAAGTAAATGGGTCGGTCGTGACAATTCTTAGCGATTTTAGGTGTTTTTTAGTTGTTTTTTGAGGGGTTTTAGTCGGATTTAGATGTGGAATATTTCCGAGTTGTTTTGGGAGTTCGATTTGGCTAGAAATCGGTCGATTTGTGAGTAGAATATGAACGAGTCCTCCCGTAGATAAACGGGTCAGTCGAGTTTGGTGGGTTTTTTCTAAAGGGTTTTTGGCTTGTTTTCCAAAATTTGTGGTTTTTGTGGAGGTTTTGGTGGAAGTTTTAGGGGTAGTGGATGGTGGCTGGATGTGTTGAGGTTTTGTGGTGGTCGTGGGTGGTTGCACTTATTAGCTAGTGGGGTTTTTTTGTGAACTTGTTATTTTTGGTATTTGGAGAGGATGATGAATGGTGGCCGACCTCTAAAAATGGGAAGGAGATGAGTATTTATGGAGAAAAAATTAAGATTTTCAGTAAACATTAAATTTGATCCTTGATTTCTTCGTATTTGTCAATTTTGATGTCA